ACCGGTCATAGACCATTGATCATACAGCCAGCCATCAAATCTTGGAGCTGTTTTCTCTTCCGCTCCCACACAGCGCCAGCACAAACTGTACCGGTGCTTGGACAAGCCCCGAACTTGTGAGCGTCTGAATCGGTGAACGAGGTCCGTTTCCGGAGCTGACTTTACCGAACAAGTAAATAATACCACAATGTAACTTTACTCCAGCCACTGTGGCGACTCGAACACGACCTACCTACACAACTGTACAGAACAATGCCAGCTCCAATGAAAACCCCCTGGTTTGCTGTTCTTTCCAGTTTAAACTTTAATGGGAGTCTTTACATTTCTCTATTCGCCCTTAGTCAGCTTCACGTGAATCTAGCAGAGTAATGATTGAAAACAATTTGCTGAGGCTTGTCAGTCACTGACACAAAACTTTCAACAGACTGAATGAAAACAGAGTCAATAACCAGAGGTTTGTGGAGAGTCAACCGTGATGGCAAACAGAACCTACTACATTGTACACGTATGATTAAAGTAAAATAAGTGCATGGGTTTAATGCCATTATCAGCACTATTAGGTTATTAAAGAGGTGGAATCTCTTAATTTAATCATAATGTTCGCCTCTGTTTTAGTTTTAATATGAGCTTTACGGCACTTGTAACCCAATAAGGTCATATAAGTGACATAGAATAGATGGGTTAAAAGAGAATAACATACACAAAAAGGAAGGAGGTGAGAAAAGGACAATAGCTGTTTGATAGGAAAGAAGAAGCAAACCACATCAGAGCACCCACCAACCATCCACATGCCCGTCCCTGATAAGACCGAGCCAAATGGGTTGACATCCCTGAAAGAAAGTAAAGAAGTAGGACCAGAGAGTAAACTCTCTGGTAGAACCTACCAGGGGTGCCCTCCAGCCTGGGCAAAAGCGACATGAAAAAGGAACAAGGAACATCACACCACAGTACCCACCAATCACCCTCAGGCTACACCATTAGGGTCTCACAAAGGATTTGGAATCAACAGAAATAAAGGAACTACCAAACAACATCACTTGTAAAGAATTGTTGTTTGCTGGAGTAAAGAGAAGCACATTAATTAATTGCCCAATAAACATAATCAAGTACAGGGAAGAAGCAGGAGTGAAGGACAGCATATGAAACAGGAATTTAATAAAAGAAGGAGAGAAGAGAACTACGACCTACCACTGACATCCTCCAACCACTCAAACTTGTGAGAAAGAAAACCAGAGAAATAAACTAAACTTTGAGACTCACATCACAGATGAAGCTCAGAGACTGTCACAAGGAATTGAAGAAGAAAAGTTACACATTTTCAACAAAATATATTTATTATTAGCTTTAAAAAAAGTAATTTTGTCATCAAAATGGAAAACAAGGTACCTGGTATTACCTGAATTAATGGATTCTGGATATGACCAGTTGGTTAAAAAAAACAAACAAAAACGAAGTCCTGATCACAGGAGTAAAACAACAAAAAGCAATCAAGGAATGTAGGTGACAGAGTTTTACCTGCCATAAAGCAAGAACTTAAAACGAACACTTGCAAATTTGTCTTCCACACTGGTTCAAAAGAAGTTCATAAACTCATGATTCGGTGCACTGCCAGACAATTGACAGAAAGTTTCATTCGTTCTTCAAACAACTTCACCAACCACATTAAATGGTTGAATTACAAAATTGAAAAAGCATTCTTTTTTCAATTCAAATAAATGTGAGGCATCGTGGTGAAATCAGGTGCTTGTCAAAATAAAGAGATTAGAGAAATTTCGGAATTATTTTGGCTGATTGTCAATTTTTTTCTAATTTTCTTTTTGGGATCAACACCTTATATGTCAATTGAAAAACACATTTTCATGTTGATTTTAGTTAAAAACATTGACCAAAGGCACAAAAAATGCAAATTTTCAGTTTCCAAGGACTCTCAGGCTATGGAAGTTACTAAACTTTGGCGGCAGTTATCTGGCTAATTTTACCCTTGAAATCAGGGGAACCTGACTTCCTTCATTCACAAATATCTCGACTTCTATTCAACATGGAAGGACTTTTTTCACCAAAAGAAAGGCAAAATGAACAGGCCTGAAGATGATACTAATAACCCCATATGCCCAAAAATTGACGAGAGCCTCATTGAAGTTATTCCACCAAGTCATGACACAAATAAGAATAGAAAAACAAGTTTCGATCTAAATAAAGGTGTGCAAAAGTGATAGCCTGTACACAGAAGTCTACAAAAACATATTAAAAAATCAATGAAATTAAGGAAAACATATCAATCGCAGTGAGCCTGAAGTAAACACGCCCATTTGACTAAAATACCAAATATAGTTGAACCTGTCTAAAACAACCACCCAGAGGTTATCTTAGACAGGTGGTTCTCTTGGACAGTGTCATTAAAAAAACTCAAGGAGGAAGTGGGAAGTGGTTGTACATGCAGGTGATTGTCTTGGATAGGTGGTTGTTAGATTTCATATCAAAATAGAGGAATTCCAACGATATCCTGTAACACCTGTCAAATCAGTCAACTGCTAAGTATCTTAATCACAGTTACAATTCCCTATGTGTCTAAATATGTCCAAATGTTTGCTGTTAATGCTTAGCATATAAATCCATTTCTTTTTTTTTTTTAAACTAGGACTTTGGACATCATCACTTCCAGTTCTCAGCTGATGAGATCTTCAGCAATTCCTCTCACAATACCCTCATCCCTTTAAAAAAATACAACCCCCCCCCCCCCAAACACCTCTCTCTCTCTCTCTCTCTCTCTCTCTCTCTCCCCCCCCATATAGGAAAACAAAGTCATCAAGTGACACAAAAACAAAGAGAAAAACAATCATACATCTGCATGTCACCAAAAGCATGACTGTTCCAAGCCAAAAAATGAGCTGTACACTCACTGCATGCAAGCAGTAAAAAGCCTGTAGTGTGTCTGTGATGAGAAGAAAGGGTGATCAAGAAGAGGAAACACTAGACATTACATTTATTTAGAAGTTGTGAAGCTTTTTACTACCGGTATTCTAATAACATCCTCATAACCATTATGAAATTCAAAACAGCTTTTACAATTCAAACAACTTGTGAAGAAATCGAGTCCTTCAGTTCTCTTGTACAAGTCATTACAATATCAAAGGTAACAGCTGCAAACCGTGTGAGTCTGTAATTAGTTCAAGTTTTATCTGTCCCCGTGGTTTTATGCACCCCACATAATTTAGCAAAATTTGATCACTTTTTGCATAATTTCTGATTATTTTCCTTTATCATTCTATGTTAAAATTAACAGAATCGCAAAATTTCACATTTTTGGGGTCATTTTGCATAATTTCAGAATTTTTCTTGCATAAAACGACGGGGACAGTTTTATTATTCTCTAAAAAAATAATTGGTGCAAGCTTACAGAGTGAAAATTACAAACATGACGTCGGCCCAAATGAGTGTACATCTATTTTCTGGCAAGCTTGATTTGCGTACATTTTTTCTTGAAATTGGTAAATCTGGATCTCCACAGTTTGCAACTGTTACCATCAATATGACAGACCCACAAAAAGTCAAACTATGCTATGATGAGAATTCATACAGTGGGGAGTGATCACATCTCACTGGCAACCAGATCTCAACAGCATAACTCCTTCCACCCCCACCCCCCTCACTGAATTTCCTGGACTCAAAGTTTTGTAGGAATTGGTTCTAAGATGAACAAATTATTGCCCTGTTAATGGGTTCTCTTTCTTTTAGACACTCAGTAGCCTATGCAAAGACAAATGGAAATAAATTGTTTTTAATTATGAGGACAGAATCCCTGTAGTCAAAATGTGGATTCAAGAATAACTCAATGATCATGGACCCTGATCATTATCTAAACCAGATGTGTCAAGGTTTCATCATAATGAAAATAAAATCAGCATACAAGTAAGGCAAAATACCAACAGCATAGCTACAAAGTGTCAAAAGTCTTGATGTATAGAGGAAAAACGCAAATATTTTCAAGCAAAACAAATGAATTTTTTTCCAACTTTTTGTATTATTGGAATATGAACAAAATTACTTTAAATATTTCTTAAACAGATTTCTGAACTTTTGCCATCAGTGTACGCATTCCAAAACATAACAAAAATTAGTGCTTAATATTACAAGATGAAACATAAAGAGAGAATATACTCATAGACAGTCATGTTGAGCTACAGCATCAGCTTTAGTATGAGTGCTGCATCACAAATAGGTCACATAAGTGCCGAAGTTCAAGTGTTACTAGAGGCTACATACAAAAAAAAAAGAAGGAGGAAAGATAAGAATGATAGATATTTGATGGAGAAAGAAATTGGAAAGATAAGGAAGATGGATATTTCATGGAGAAAGAAGGAGCAAACCACACCGGAGCACCCGCTAACCATCCACTTACACCATCAGGTATTGATGAATTTTGCATGACGCAATGACTTTTGCATCATAAAAGGAAGTAATTATATTGAAGTTATTTGTTAATATCCCAAACAAATGTTTTTATGAAATTTTTTAAAAAGCTATTTCTTATATTTTACATTTATTATAGCTTGTGTGTCTAGACTTTAGGGACATGCTTACCAATAACTGCCACAAGCTGCCTAACTCTTTATCTCCAATGCTGGAGCTCTCGTTTGGTACAAAATCTAAAAGTGAAGATGTATATGTCATTAAAGTGAACTTATTTTGATAGTTCTTCGTCTAATGAATAAAACCACTGTGTAAGAGACCTGCTTTCAGCAATTGCCGAAAAGTAATTTGACGTTGAAGTCATCACAAAGGAATATGCCTGAGCAGTAGCCAGCAGCTCATCAACACAGTAGTTATGACTTAGAGACGCTGGGAGCAGCTTGCCGGAGATGAGGGGATAACAGGACATGCTACTGAGGTGGGTTTAAAAAAAGTTTTAGTAAGTGTTTTAGGGCACTTGCAACACAATAAGGTCATACAAGTGCCGAAGATTACAGGTGTTACAAGACAGCAACAAACACAAAAAAGAAGGAGGGGGGATATAGAAAAGACGAAAGAATATTTTATAGGAAAGAAGAAGCAAACCACATCAGAGCACCCACTTACTACTGAGGTGGTTTACAGGTATCAACAACAGGGACCTCACAGTTGACACAGACATAAGATGGGTGGGGTGAGTCATTATATCCCCCCAAAATGATGAAATAAAAACAAGAAAACCCCCAGAAATTGTATTTGTAAAAACATTTTGGTCCACACTAGAAGTTTACTCATAAAATATGTAAACAAAGGCAAACCAAAATCAAAATCCACAACAAGAAAGTTGTTCAAAATTATAACATAACATTAATAACAAAAATATTCTAAGCACAGAACCAAAACTGATACAATAGTTAGATCATCAGAATCTAATCTTCGCACAAAACATTCAATGACAGAAGAAATATCTTCAAAGCTACAAAAATATAAAAAAACAACAACATTCATACACATTCAGTTTTTAGAACTGAACACAACAAAAAAAGAAGCAGTGAATGTACAAAGAGATGAAAAGAGAGAAAAAGAAAAACAACTCTAGATCAATTACTGGCATCTCAATGAAGAAACCATCCAACATCCAAAAACAAAAACTACTGAGAAAAGTTCTCTTTCAGATTCCCAAACAAAAGTGTGATGTCTTGTAATCAAGAATGAAGCTTGAAAACTTGAATCATGTTGTCCAGGTAGTTGATTATATAAAGGAGACCATCTGAAGTCAAATGAATGCCGGAAGGACGTCGGATGGAGGCAGCAAGGTTGACCGATGCCAGAAAGTAACCATCAGATGTGAAAGCCTGCAAATCAGATGATGAGCCAGTGGGCGAAGGATAAAAGATTTTAATTAAGAAAAATCATCAAATGATTCAAGTCAGGTGAAACAAAATCTGAAATAATTCTAAAATGTAACATCTTACACACACACTTTAAAATGAACAAATGGATAGTACTAGTACACCATATTTTGAATTAATGAAAATGTTACCAAAAAAAATCAAATAAAGCACTCAAAATAAATTAACTTTCCACTTAGGGAGAAGAGGGGGGAGGGAGAAAGGGGTTTGGCAGCTTGAGGATAAACAAAAACAGTCTCATTTTGACTGGAAGAAAGCCAAATCAAAATGAATTACAAATTTTTCTCCTTCAATTCAGAAAGAAGTTTTATAGGTTACATACTTCAGTTTACAGTCAGACATTTTCTGCTTTTGATACGGGAATTTAGGGGGAGATGGAAAGGGGTTTCAGAAGTCCAGCTGATGGTATCAATGGTTGCTTGTCCGGTCGGTAGAGCTGGGCAGGTACTGGCCCCCAGTACCGGAACTCCCAATACTACCGTAGGCAGTGTCAGTACCGGCACCAGGCCTCCAGTACCTGTACTGGGAAGCTGCCGACACCAAGTATTTAACACAATGTGTGATGCGCCCTTGGAACTAAAATCCCAGTTACCGTGCAGTGTATACAAGATGGGAGGTCAGATGCACAACACAAAACACTAGGTGACCTTGATACATGCAATTAAGTTCAAAATTAACAACCAATTAAAAAAAAAAAGATTATGTTTATTAAAAGGATGGATATCGCACCAAATCAGGCTCATCATGAACACCTTTGCTTATTTTGATACGCTGATTCCAAAAATGAAATCAGATTTTAGCTTCAGTATTTATTCGAAAAAATTTGCCCGAAACGTTTAATCCTGCATGGCGGCAAATTTCAAAGAGATTCTGTGTCCTGGCTCATCTCTCACAAGAGTGAGGTAAAAGCATGTGGCGACTTCTGATGCCCTTGTCTCCTCACCACCCCTGGAACTCAGTTTTGCCGGAACTGCTCAGCACTACAGGTTGGCAAGCAGTGGTCAAAACTTCACACCTCTCAAGTAATGACATGCATCAATTCTACTTATCCATTGCTACCAGTTCTTGCATTTCACAGGAACTATATTTGACCTAAAACAGAAGCGTTTGAACATTCTCTCCTTTGCTTCCACCCTAGCCCCATCAATTGGTGTAATAAGAACAGTCGACCAATGTCACCCCTCCAGTACATGTAACAACAAATTTAAGGAACAATTTTCTCGGCTGGCCGTATGATAGGGGCGGCAGGCATTGGTCAAATTAATTTCACATCTCGCACCTCTGGCTACGCATGAAACTTTCTGTACTGGAGTGCCACTAGCGGTATAGAACAAAGGTTAGAGCCGATGGAACCAAACGTGTTGTTTTATTTCAAATCAGGGCAGAGTGGGCAAAACATTTTCTGTCTCTCTGGGTAAAGGAATTTCTATTTCTATTTCCCCGTTAGACATGTTTTCGTTTAAACAGAGATAATTATAGAGAAGTTGTCAAACATGAGACAGAGCAAGAGGTCGGAGGGCACCACTCATATGTCTTGCTTTTTTTTTCTTCTGTTGGCGGTCGGTCATACTTTTTTCCAAACACTAAATGACCATTATTGTGTCCATATGTTCTTTATTCAAACAAAAAAACAAAAAACGAGCAAATGAGACTGCATTTCATTTGTACAAATTACAAACAGACTTATTTTAGTTGACAGACAGTTATGACTTGGGTGCATAGGTCCTTAAACATTATTCAAGTTGTGACAGTTTAACTCATTCGCTACGCCGAGCCGTGGGCAGCGGTGCGGTGAAAGTGTCTTCCGTACACCAAGCCGTCCCTGATGGCTCAAAAACCGACCTGTTATTCTAGCTTAGATTTCATTCCAATCAATGTATCCATTTTAAAATATAGGTTATAATACAACATTGACTTTTGGGTCAAGCTTTTCCACCAACTTTCAAGTTGAAAAATACACAAATAAACATTACAGATATATTCTACAAACCATACTGAAAATTTTGGTATATAATATGTTGATATTTATTAGAATGTGTGGCCCCAAAGATCTTTTAACTGCGCGCTAGTCATCATCTCATTTCGCCCTCGTGGAAAAAATTCGTCGACAAGCCGAAATAATACGTAGCGAATGAGTTAAACAGGCATCAACAACCTATAGTCATCATCTAAATCATATTTTGAAAGCTTTCCTTATATGTGAAGTCAGAGGTTTTCTTTTAATTGAGAACATACAAAACAGAAAACAATGCATCAGCCTGACACATATAAAAATAGGACCTGCAACAACTTCTGTCAAGTTAATGCAAATGTCGAAACTAAATCAAATAAAGTCAAGGAACTAGGCCCACTTACCTGAATTCTATTATTTTTGCTGTCACCTACAAGCCAGTTGCCTTCAGCATCAACCGCAACACCAGATGGCTCTCTGAACTCACAGATACCATTGCCATACTTTCCAAACCTTTTTACAAACTGCCCATCCACAGTAGAAAGGTACATCATACTGGAGCCTGTGGACCAAGTGGAATGAAAAAATGACTGCCATTCATTTCCTGCCTTCTGTATAACTCTTTCCAGACGTAGTTTTTGGGGGTCTAGAAGTAATTAACTTGTGGCTTGATTCAGCTACACAGGTGACATACAAAATAACTTCATATATATAAGCTTAACCATAACTCAAAAGTTAACATATGATATGTCAAATGGAAGGAAATTGAATGAGGAATACATTCCAACACAGACAGAAAGGATTAAATTTGAATATAGTATAGACATGCATTACAAGGGTTAGAATAGGAGATGGTGATGAGAAAAATGGAAAAAATTACACTCACCAAACAAGTGAAAGCAAATCAACATATAAACATTGTATCATATAAAGCCAAGAGCATAATCCACAAATTTCTGAATGCGAAGCTTTTTATTTGAAAGCAATATTCCAATTTTTGTTTGAGTTATATTTCTACTGAATCCGGATACATCGTTTTGTTGATGCAAGACCGCAAGAACTAATTCACTCGCTCTTTGCCAAACCGACACTTTGACAAAGTGAAACTAAATGTTTTCATTTCCTAAACCCTTTCCCAAGTTTTCAATAACAGTGATAAGTACTTATAAATGACAGATCATGTTAAAATGAAACAAAAGTGAGGCACCCCATCATTGCCGATATATCGGCGATACGTCCGCAGGGGTATGGACTCGCGCCGATATATCAGCGTTACGTCCGGCAAGAGTTAAGTTTAAACAAGAGTTCTATGGTATTTGTAACAGGATTAGATCATATAAGTGCTGAAAATTTGATGTGTTACAAGAGAGTAACAAACACACAAAAAAAGGAGGAAATACAGGGGCGACAGATGTTTGATAGGAAAGAAGGAGCAAACCACACCATAACACTGGTCATCCACCCACTTTCCTGCCTTCAAACTAGGGAAACATGAAGAAGTACGACAGTAAACAGCCAGAAAAGACAGAAAGACTAAAATCAAATGGCAACAAAAAATGTGTGATTCAATACATGAACAACACAGTAAACAACACAGATTCAATCAATGTTCCCATACTTTACTTTAGTGCATGTTTTTACTGAGTCTTCATTTAAGTGTTTTTTTCCACATATCATTATTTGACAATTCACTCTCAATTAAAGATTTTATTTGGAGACCGGAACAATAAATACTAAAAATCATACGGTGAAACTCAAATATAATATTGTGAAAGACAGAGCTTTCCTCTCAATGAAACTGAGCTACATGTACTTAATGAGACCACTGAAGGAGATCTAAAAGAACTGCAAGCTCAATTTCACTTTTTCTGCTTATCATTAGTACAATATATTGATTCATGAAAGAAATGTTGCAGATGTTGCCACATTTGCGAATAGAAAAATAGATATTCTGTACTGAAGATTGTAGTAGTCTCCACCCTCCACCTCCCCAAAAAGATAAAAAGAGAGAGTAATTTGAAGGACAGTAGAGTACAGGAAGAAGTGACTACTTCAAAAATGGAAATGAATAAGAGCAAAATACATACAAAAATGTCAATTAACGAACAAGACTGGTAGTGGCAGTACATTAAAAAGTGATAAACTTGAAGTACACAGAAATCAATAAGACATATTAAATGTTGGAGAAGTCTAAAGCTGAAAATTCCAGCCACTTCCCTCCATCCATTCCCAAAACTGTAAAAACTGTATGAGTTTTCTCCCAGAGCTTTTCTAGGCCCTAAGACACAACTCCAAGAAAAGAACACAACAAAAATAAATCCAGTATGTATGAATTTCAGTTTAATCAAAGCAAACTATTGGTAGCTTGAATACTCTGTGGGCAAGTGTATTCAGGTACAAACATGTATTTGACAGTATTTCAAGAGACAACTGAATTGAAGAGAATAAAAAATAACACAAAGTTTCGTTCTGTCCTCCTTATGATCTAAGAGGAAACATTGTAAGAAGGAATAGAACCATTCATTCACACCCTCTTCAGATTCAAATCTCAAATTTCTGCAAACGCATTAAAATATCCAACAACTTCCTAATGGCCATATAATCCCATTTAGAATATTTATTAATATCAATCTAATATAAAGCATAACAGTGAAACTCACCCAAATCACTTGCAAGCACCATGTTCTTGTGTGCAGCCAGGAATCTCACTTTACTGAGAGGGGTGCCAGCTTGCATCAAAGGCGTATAACTGTATGAATCCAGCCTGTCTTCACCGAGAGTGTAGCTGAAAACTTTTGGGGCCTTTCTAGTTTCATCAACTAACACAGCACAAGTCTTATTTGTGGGTTTGGCAAGAGCTAGTCCTGAAAAAAATGAACCATAAACATAAAATCAAAGAATTAACAATACTTATACTCTTTTATAACTTGTATGGAGTGCTTTATATTACTACAGTAAGAATTCATCTGCCTGACCAAAAACATTTAAAGAGACCTCATTTTCTTTTAAAACTATTCCAGTCCTTTTGATTGGACCTGAAAATAATGTGTGTCATAATGAAGTGGAATCAGGTTAATTTTGGGGCATATAAAGTTATTGATATCATCTCAATGTCTTTTCATTTGCCCTACTTTGAAAAGAAATACCAATTTATCTTGATAGAAGTCAAAACAATTGCAATTGAAGAAGATGGGGGGGTCTCCTGATGTCAGAGGTAAAATTAACAAGACAATGGCTGCCAGAATTTGGTTATTTCAAAAGCTTGAGTGTTTTTGGAAACTGCAAATTTCTTTCTTTTATTTTCATTTTTGCCTTTGATCCTTTGATGTTTGTTCTTCAGTAAAAACTCATGAAGGAACGTATTTTTACTTGTGAATATAATCTAAATGCCAAGTTCAAACATATCCCCTCAGCTTTTTTGCCTGATCCAGTCCTACGTCTGCTGTTGGAACCAACATTCCAGACTTTCCCATGCAAAATGATCACAACGCAAATTATATGGGTATGGGAATATAACCCTCAGCAGAGCCAGTGAAATGGTGATAAAACATACCTTTTCCATGGGAGAAGTGTCACAACTGTGACACTAAAAGTAGATAACATTTTTATTTCAGCCCATCATGCTCACCAAAAGGATGTTGAAAAATCCTTTGCCCAAAAGTGTTGAACTTTTTGCCACTAGCATCAAATGCTTGAACACAGTGATCATCTTTCACATACATATTGTCTAGAGAATCACACACAACAGCTGATGGTCGCTGAAATGATACGTCTTTCTGAAAAAAAAAAAAAGACAATTTCAATACAGAAAAAAAAAGGATAAAAAAAGGGGGGGGGGGGGCCTTTTCTAGATTATTAAATTACAAGTGATTAACAACTATCTCAGTTATGAAAATTAACTTTTCAAAGGTGAAGATGTGTTAAAAGCACAACATAGTTGCCCATAACATCAATAAGAAGTATTTTATAAGAGTTTACTACAAATTAGTAAGCTGGGAACAAAGTGCACAATGACTTGGCACTGTTCACTATCGCTAACTTGTAAGCAGAGACATTCCAAAATTGAACCTTGAGCATCTTTACAGATATTAGATAAAAATCTATGACTCACTGCACAAAGAAAAAAGCCCCATAGATATATCTGAATCGCAATTGTTTTTTTCATAACGGGCAGTAAAAAAAAAAATGGAATAAAAACAGTCAAATAGAAAATGACACCTTCAAAACTGAAATATATACAATAACCCAGAAAATTTTACCTCACCACCAATAGACATAACCAACTCATCATCTCGCAGGACCTTGACCCGGTTATTGCCTGTATCGGCCACAACCAAAAGACCATCACTTCTGACAGTCAGTCCTGTGGGGTGATCAAAAGAGGTGCTGTGTCCTCCAGTCACGCATTTCACCAGTGTTCCTTTCACCTCTCCAAGACACAAGGGTTGTGGATGAAAGATTCAAACAAAGCAGAAGGAAATTAGAAAAAAAGATATAAGAATTATGGAACTTTGCTTGACCTGTGATAGTCATGTTCTTTTGTTTGACAAAGAGAGGAGTCGTGTAATTCTCTTGAAACATAGATCAGTGACAAGACTTGGTATTCTTAGAAATTTCTTTGTTTTATAAAGTAAACTGAAACTGATATAAAGTGTCACGACGTTGTGAAATCAGGTGCTCATCAATTTTTGGGCAAATGGAGTTATTAGTATCATCTTAAACGTTGTTTATTTGTCTTGCATTTGGCCCAAAAAAATATCCATCTAACACGAATAGAAGTCAAGATATTTGCCATTCAAGGAGGCGAGATCTCGAGTCGCCTCGTGTCAGAGGTAAAATTAGAGAGAGTCCTTGGGAACTGCAAATTTAAGTTTCCAGTGCATTTGATTTTGATCAACATTTTTCTGTAAACCTCACACAGAAATATTTTCTTAAAAGGTCATAAAAAGGTGTTGAGTCTAAAAAAGAATATTTGGAAAAAAATCTCCCAACCGCCAGAAAAATGTTGGTTTTCTTTATTACATTCTTTTGATCAGCGCCGGATTTCACCATGCTGCCTCACATAATTGCAAATCATTTCAAGTCCTACAGAAGACTATCAGACTATATATGATACTAAAGGCAAAAAGTAATACCAAAGAGAAGTTCCAAAAATACTTAAAATTTCAGTTTCTACACACGTACGACCCACATCTCATGAGATTGCACATTGAAATGGAAGCTACTGTCCACAACAGTTTCCAGAACTTCTCCCCATCATAACTGTACATGATGTTCTGTGCTAAATCTCAAAAATACATAAAACTTGCAGTTAACAAGATCAAAGTGGTATTTAAATACTCTTACCTTTAGGTCCAGCAAAAGATGTCGACAGTATGCTCCTCAAACTGAACTTCATGTCTGCAATATCGGCGTTCTTGGGCATACTCTGCGATTGTTTCTTGGAATTCAAACTTTCTTTCGGTGCTGTAACTAGAGAACAGAGAGGGGGTACAGCAATGTCCTCCTTCTTCTGTGACAAATAACTTTTAGTACATGATATTTGGTTCGTGGTCAACAGATTTGGAGGTCTTTTATCTTCAACAGTTTCCATGACAGTCTCACATGTGATTAAGTTCACAGGTGCTGGAAGAGTTGTAGTCTTCACTTTTTCCTCTTCCTCTTCTGTTTGGGTGTGATTCTTCTTTAAATGAGTTGAATTGTTAGAATCCAGTCTTGAACCGAAAGTTCCTAAAGGCTTTCCAGACACCATTGCAGAATTCGCAGAAGCTACTGATTTATCATGGGCTGCCAGATCTATTTTGCCTTCTCTCCAATTTGGACAATCTGCTCTGGATGACTTATCAGATTTCTTTTGGGTTTGAGCACTCGAACTGCCGGAAGTCTGGTCCATGTAACAAGGCCTCAGATGAACTTTGTTTGAAAGTTTGCTGACTGTGAGAGTATTAACCTTTGGTTTGAAAATGCCATCGTCTTTCATATTAATAACATTCTCACTCTGCTCCTTTTTTACTAATCCATCAGGTGTGATATGGGAGGTGACTTTTCCAAAGGTATTTGAAAGTTTCTCTGAGTGGCTTTTAGCTTTCTCTTCCAAACTGCACTGAGAAAATTCCTTTGAAAGAAAACCATCTGGATGTTTCCGTGTGTGGTTTTGAATGTTTAGAGATGCATCTGATAAGCTGCACTGAGAAAAATTCTTGGAAAGACCATGTTCCACTTCTTTGCCAGGGTCTCCAGCATGGGTGACCTCCCCTCTCTCAGACGCTGTCTTGTCAGTCACAAGGGCAAACTTTCCTTGAAATGAGGAAGGCTCATTATTATTAAGCACAGACTGTTGCCGTTTAGTTGCTTGTCTTTCAGAGCCATGAACTCCATTGGTTTCAAAACTACCTTGATTGAACAGCTGCTTCTCAAGAGGGAATTTTTTTGATGCAACACCATCAGTGTGTTCTGAGAGATCGCCAAATCCAAGAGAATGTAAAATATGTTTCTCAAAATTTCTAGAATTTTTACTAACAATTTTGACCAATGTTGCTTCAAAAAACTGTTGAAGATCTACTTCTAGGTCAATCGAAACGAAAGTGTTGTAGTCAACATACTTGAGTTCATCACACTCTTTCAAGCTTCCTAAAAACTCACTTTCAAGAGCTGTCTGAGTAACAGGGACATTCGTTTGATCCTTCAGTACTTTTTCTGCCATTATGCAGAGTTTTGAAATGTAATCAACACACTGAATGATTTCATTGGAATGACTCTCCAGGACATTGGCTCTGTCTGTCACTATACCTCCAATGAAAGTCTGAAGGTGAGTATCAAAAGCATCTACCATTCTGTGTAAATTATTAATTAGGTCTTTAGCTTTGGCTTTGGCCAGTAAACCATTCCTCTGAAGCACTTTTTGCTTTTGAGTCATATCAGAGGCTTTGTTCAAGTCATTTATGATGGCATAGCCTTGACTCAACAGAGTTGGCAAACCTTGATCTCCATCCATCTTTATATCTGAGGATGATACAACTGAACATCAGCTTAAAATATCTGAAAAAAAGGTGTCAAGAAATGTTTTTGTTTCTGGAGCAAAATAAAAAGCATATATGACAGCAGACAGGGTACCTGCAACTCGAATGAACAACACTAAACAGACAATGTCTTTGCTGACCACCCACAGGTCCATGGTGGGTCCACAGGAACAATTTCTCTCTTTTAGAAAGTATAGCTTTCTTTATGAAATTAATTATTTGAAATTTAGCACAGACTCACAAATCCATAAAAACACCTTCGCAGTTAGTTAACATTATGACAATGATACTTGCTAGAAAATTAAAGAGTACTGTAGCACTCGACAACGCAACTATCAGTTAGCTAATAAATTATTTTGTCAAAAATCTTTTCTTTTTTATAATGTATAATAAACCTAAAACTTTGTTTTTACGTGCATAAATTGTCTTTAGATACAACACTAAACAAAGAAAATTTTTTAAGTTGCAAATTGATAATTTACTACCTTTGAAGTGCCGCCAGAAGAATGAAATTATATCACACGATTTACACTAGACTAGACAGTCTTGTAATAATATCATGGTGAGGAATCCAACATTGTATTAAATTTAAACACAATGGGCGAATGGCAGTTATAATATGTTTGAGACAACAATATAGAGGGGGGGGGGGGACCTCAACAGCCAATTAGTTTGTTATTCATAGTAAATGAAAAGTATTCAATAAGTGTCATATATAGCCTACAATCTATAAATTCCATGTCCAACAGAGAGAATAAACCATTGTAGCGCTATAAAAATTTGTGAGGGATTGTGGTGAAACCTGGCGCTCGTCAAAACAACTAGAATCTAAATCAAAAAAACATTTTTAAGCCCATTGGGCAATTTTTATCACATTTTTTTTTATAGGCCCAACACCTTTTATGTCCATTTCTGTTTGGAATTTAAGGAAAAACATTGATCAAAGGCATGCAAAATAGTTTTTACTGACACTCAAGCTTCGGAAGTAACCAAACGTTAGGGAGGCCATTTCTAACTAATTTACCTTCAACACCAAACGACCCCCACCTTCAATCGCATACCTCTACGATGATGCCAGTGACTCCATAAATGCTCAAAAATTGACAAACACCTGATTCCATAGCATCTTGCCACATATTTATGTTTAATAAGCTTTTAATTAGGAAGGATATATAGATCATCCTGAAGAGTCCCAACTTTCGAATTTCCTTTTTGCCAATTTGCAAAAAGGTGAAATTATACCATAAATTTCTCTTTTCCCTGTTCACCTCTATTGACCTTGGACATCAGAGGCAGGAATAGGGGCGCTCTCTTGGTCTAAAGGTTTTGGTGTTTGTCTCATTCAACAGGTCCCAGGTTCGAAACCTGACATTGACGGAAAATCTAATTTCTCCTTTCACCTCCTTTCTTGCACTGTAACACCTATGTTCTGTCATCTGCTTTCGTCTTCACTTTCTGCCTCCCTTCTGGGCTCCAGACTCTTTTTGCAGTCTTTCTTCTGCTACTCTTTGGCTCCTCCTTACTGCTGTCTGTCAGCAAAAACCCTGATCTTAGGGTAGGTAGGATGTAACACCTTGTAGCCTTCTCGGGTAAGGGCGAAAAATCTCGGATGTCCCTTATGTGCAAGTTGCGCACGTTAAAGATTCCTTGGTGGTCCAAAATCAATAAGAGAAATCTTTGGCTGCCACCTGGGCAAAATCAAAAGTTAATTCCTACCAAACTGAAAATGTTTAATGTATCCCACGCCCTCGTATGACCATGCCATGTTTCACGATGCGGAGGAATGAGGCGCTCGTCAATTTTTGGATAAGATTGGTATCACCTTCATGCCTGTTCATTTTCCTCGCATTTGATGAAGAAAGAACCCATCTATCTTAAATAAAATGGTGAATGGAATATATATAATATATATTTGCAACTGATGCAGGTGGAGGTCACCTGGTGTCCGAGGTAAAATTAGTCAGAAAATGAACATCAAAGTTTGGTGATTTCCAACAAAGCTTGAAGAGTGTCCCTGGAAACTGCAAATTTACATTTTTTGTGCCTCTCATCAATGTTTTTCAACTCAGTACAATGCATGCAGGAATATGTTTTTGAATGGATGTAAAAGGTGTTGAGCCAAAAATAAAAGGAAGTGGATATTTATACGGCAGGCCGTCGAAAAATCGAAAGAGATAATTCCACGGCCCATAAATATTCAGCCAATCAGAACATCTGGACCATTTTTATAACTAAGCCTAGGCCTATCTCTTTTCCATAAGTAACGCATTATAGACAATTTAAGATACCTGTATGTTTAGTTAACAATGTTTGCTATCATTTTGTGCATTATGGACAATAATGAAATGTTTTGTGCTTGTGATTGTAACGAGAGTGAGAGATGCACAATTTATTTTGTGCAAGCAAAATGGAGAGAAGACTTTTTTTTCCAACAGTAGGGGGCCCATTTGCGGATGGGATCGGGTCGGGTCGGGTAGGGATGATTACCCGAATCGTTGCCTGGAAAACAAACTCAATTCTTGCTTTGATGCACTTCAAGCAGAGCCTCTATGCCGTCGAAATATCAATTCCGATCTTTAGACTCAAGACGGAATACCGTATAGGTATCACTTCCGATGTTCATACAGCATGCCATGGAAATATCAACTACGACCTTCAGACCGTATGCCGTCAAAATATCGCTACCTAAAATAAAAACATTCTAGATCTAGATCTAGATCTATACTCTACATCTGATCTAGATTTAGACTTAGAGATCTAGGCGCTTTTTCGGTAGTTCCCACCCCACAATTGTTATTCGCCGGTTTTGGCCCCAAGAGTAGGGGCCAAAAATATGGTGGGGGTTTTCAGGGAGGCATGCCCCCCTGAATTTTACCACAATTTAATGTTTTGCAGTTATTAGGTTTGATATCTTTGCTTGCCGCGAATCAAACGTATAGATCAAGATGTATGCTCAAATAAGGGGGATGGGAACTACCGAAAAAGCACCGAGATCTACAATACATATTATACAACACAGCAAACGGCAAACGTTCAAGCAAAGACAAACCATCAAAATAGCAGGGGACCGGGAGAGGTATGCATCAGGCCTGACTCCCGTGCTGGCACAGCTAGATTCTACGTTTGTATTAGACTAGATCTAGTGAGTTAGTGTTTATGCAAAGGGTGCAAAACAGCAAGAAATCTAGGCCCGAGCCACCAGGGACAAACTCCGAAGTTGAGTACTTCTTCAAGACGCTGTTGAAGAGCCTAGCCTAAAAACACGATCACAAAGATACAGAAACAGTCTAAAAGGAAAAGTCTGGAAGGCCTCCTATAGGTTCTAATTGTCTTACATTTCGGGAACGAGCTCATCGTTTCTTGATCTCAAGATCTAGATCTAATTATTATTGCTGAGACAGAAACATTATCTTCGTCTACAATCTACTCACTGATACAAGCTTGAAGCAAAACAATACGCCAGCCTAGCCTACCTGCTCGCTCGCTGCTCGTGTATCATCATCCGCTGGCCAGATCACGATCACGCCGCCAGTGACATTGGGGGGTTTGAGATTAGGCCCTTGGCCTAGGCTAAGATTCAAATAAAATGGGCTAAAAAGAGATCCACAATTTTGTTTTTCATCTCATTGGCCTGTCCCAACGAGCATGTCCTCACTTTTCATGAAATAATAGACTATAAAAAAAATCTAAATCTAGTCTAGAAATCTAGATGGCTTTGATTAGTCTAGGATATATATGTATTTGAGTTTGTTTGGTGTTTTTTTGTTGGTTTTTTATCAGACTGACGCAGCCTGAAAAAGGGTGTAGGCCTAGACGGGTTGGTTTTTATTTTCACTCTCACTCTCAGTTAAATTCTCATCAGTTCTCAATAAATCGTCTAGGCTGGCTAGAATCTATACTTACTAAGTCTTGGACTACTGACGTTACAAAGTGTTTGAACAGTTGTACGAAGGCCAAGAAAGAGCCAAATAATTAGATCTGCCTAGCTAAATAAAAATTAGGCTATGCCTAGAAAAATCCTGGTCACGTGATCGATAAATCTTCATTGCTCACGTGATCGATTAGCTAGGCCTAACCACAAGTTTTGCCGCTGAAATTTCAATTCTGTCACTGTTTGAGTGACTGAATTCGACCAAAGAAGTTGTTCAAGACAAAACTGGAACTGAAGTTGGGAGCACGTGTATTTAGATCTACGTGGCTTTATCCATTTTGAGTAGCATGTCTTTGGCTGGCGACGGATCAAGGTTGGTTTGAACCCTTAGCCTAGACCAGCCTAGACTAAGAAGATCACCTTTTAAATTTTTATCTCGCAAGAGCTCTAGATTTATCTATCTAGATTTCTAGATCTAAATGTTTTCGTAAAACAGCACTGTTTTCTTTACGTCAGAGGCCATCATAAGTAAACTCGCACCAAAAAGTCAAGGAACAAAAATTCAAAGAAAGATAACTGAAGAACAGTTTAACCAAATTTATTCCTTTTTTCAGAAATGATGCTTTCGACTCTCTAGATTAAGTGTGTACAATTTCAGATTTCAACAACAACGAGAAGTTCATGTAAATTGAGTTTTAGTCACACTGGTGGGATTTCAAAAGTCTGAACAGCCATAGTTTTTCATGAACATAGTCTACAGCGGGTTTAGCCACCCTGGTTAATCCAACACTCGGCACAGCGTCGACGCATGGACAGGACATGCCTTCGGAGAACTTGTTGCGGTAGGTTCTGCCATTCCTGGACGAGGCAGCCCAAGAGTTGTTGAAGGTTTTGTGCATGAGGGTGGTTGTCCCTTATCCACCGGTCAATGTGATCCCAAATGTTCCCTGTTGGGTTCAAATCCGGACTACAAGCTGGTCAGTCCGTGCAGGTGACAGCTCGCTTCTGCAGGGAGTCCCCCACGATGCGTGCGCGATGTGGTGTGGCGTTGTCGTCCTCCAGTACTGCCTGGGGTCCAATCTGTTGCAGGAGAGGAACATCAAGGGGACGTAGGATTTCGTCCCTGTACCCTGCCGCATTCGGCTCAAAATTATGAAATTTGAGTTGTTGTAGGCATTTTTAGCTTCCTCACTCTCTCCTACAACTATTCCATTGCATCAGAACCCCCCAAAACCTCACTCCTTCCCATACCGGGCATGTTTGTCACCACCATTTCCTCATAAAGTCGATATTTTATTTTTCTTTGTCAGCAGTTCTCAAAACGCTACTTTTGTCTGTACTTTTTAAAAATAGCTCCACCATTTTTTTTATCCAATCTCCCTTAAATTTTCACAGAATGAAGAGAAGATGTAATACTAAAAATTCGTCTGTTGAATTTTTTATATATGAAATAGATTTTTGTTCCTTGAGTATAGATTTTCACGAATTTTTTTGCAAACTTGAAGACTTCTTTAGGAAAAAATTCATTAAAAGATTTCTAATTCGTTTAGGAAAAAAACCAACAGACAAATTTTTAGATCTAATGTTTGTAAACACGCATGTAAAAATACAATCAATCTCCATGAGCAGTAAGTGCGGTATTCATTGTACGCAAGACATGTAAACTAAATCCAATATGGCCACCGTATCCATGGAAACGAAACTTTTTTCTCAAATTTGATTGGGGATTTTAAGGCTCCTTACTATGCTTGTTATAGGCCTATGTGTGAAATTTTGGTAAAATTCGGTCGATTAATAAGCGGGATAGCCTTCAGGTGTAGCCCCCCCCCCCCCCCCCCCCCCTTTAATAAGCTTACTTTTTCAGTTTTGTCTTTTCCTTCAGGGAATACAATGCAGAAACAGGCAATGCAGTTGAATTGTCAGCAGCCGTGAAAAACTTCAAGCAGAGTGAAGCTCTTGAATCCGTGGATGGCTTCGACAGGGACTTGATGACGTTACAGGACCAGATTCTCAACTTATCTGGTTATTACTTTTTCTTACATAGAGTAGAATAATATACAAATTTCAATATATATATTTAAAAAATTTCTTTATACATATATATATATATATATATATATAATATATCTATCTATCTATCTGCATCGCCATTGTTTGTTTTTTTAAAACTGCTGTCTCATCTTTTTGCCCCATTTAAAGCTTCGTTTTCGGTCAGATTCAGTACTGATTGCTTTTCTCTTTCTCTTCGGGCCAAAATTTGGCGTGCTACAGTTTACAGGTCCTTTTTTATGCTGGATTTTTACCTCATCATGAACCGGTGTCTGTGATAAAGCGGTAAGTAGACGTTTCGCTGCCGCATGCATGGTACTCGACTCCCGATTCCCAAGTGTGGAGAAATCCTTATCGAGTATCTTGATCTTTCTGCTGGGATGTTGTAATACAATGTAGTTGTATTCCTCTCAGCCAGGGTTTGGTCCTGACTGGCATAGTCGGAAGCCCACCACCCTATATGATCCAAATCGTGTCGATAGTGGCATAAAAACATCTGCTACTAATAAAAATTAAAGCAAAACCCACCAACAACTACAACAACAAACTCACCATTATGAGCAAAACAACTACTACGAAGCCGTAAGACAATCATGTTTCCTCATAAAGAATAAAGACACTTTCACAGTTATGGTTGTCTCAGAAACTAACCAACGTAGCTGCTACATGTAGACCTTATAGTATACATATTTCTTTATTTTTACGATGTAGGTCTGAATTTACCATGACTTGCAGCAGTTTTGCACTCTGAAATCAAAATAACATACACTAGATGTAGGGCTATATGGTCAAACTCACACTGGACTTTACTTTTATCAGCCGCTTATACCCTTTTGGATGTCGCAGGAAGAAAGAGACGTCTCTCTGTCGCCAGCCGGAGAGCTTGGGTCAGGGAAATGCCGTGGGTGGTTAATGTTTCCCTGACTCCATCTATCTAGGTCTTTCTCGGTAGCCCTCTAGCCTTGTTGCCATCGTATTTTTAAAAAAATGTAGGCACTTTGTGCTGGATGGTGTGTTGGTAATCGTAGGAGATGTCCGAACCATTTGATTTCATTCTTTGGTGTTGGATGTGATGCATGACATCATTTGTGCCCACCACTTTCATGTATTTTCTTGGTCCCACTTCCTTTTACTTTTAAACGGCAATCCGACAGGCCAAGTATTGGAATTCTCCACCTTTTCATGAAAGTAATGAGTTCTTGTTCCTTGTCTTTGAGGCCACAGATGTTAAGAGTACAAATCCTTTCTCGTAATCTTTTAACTTTTCCAGGTCGTTTTCCGTCTGTATCAGTCCGTTTCTTTCTTTCATTGTTTTTTTGGTGTGTTTTTTTGTTTAGCAATAAAGAATCCGCTGCCGACTTGCTAGGCCTGTCACAGTTTCACCAGAGCCCTGTTAGCCAGCAACTATTCGGGATGACCCGGGTTCTCCTCCTCGGCTAGCGTGACGCCTCAGTGGCATAAAGCAACACCGTACTTCGTTGAACCCAGCAATCCCCTACTTTGTCGTTTCCACCTCCCCGGACGTGGATCTTGGGGTTGGACAATTTTTAAAAAACATACCCTAAAATGATAATGTATTACATAATATATTTAAAAACTTAGGTAAAAGTTTTACGGCACTTACAACACAACTAGGTCATATAAGTGCTACAGATCAGAGGCGTTACTAGAGAGTAACGTGCACAGAAAAGGAGAAGGAGTGATACAGACCTTTAATATTTGATAGGAAAGGATCACATCACGTCAGAGCACCCATCAACCACCCACTGAGCGTGAATTTGGCTCTGGTCTTTTTAAACATCTTTAGATACATGCAGATGACGTTATCAATATTGCTAAATGACTGGTGCCCCCAAGAGCTAATCGTTTACATGTATTTCTTCCAGTGCGCACCCATATGCTGGAAGTGGACCTCGCTACCCTCTTCAGCCCCGACCTGATTCTGGAACTGGAGAAAATGGACCAGAGCTGCGTTGAATGCACTCTAGACTTAGAGAAAATGGCGTGTGAGGAGTTCTCTTCACTAAACGCGGACGCTGAACCTCCAGTATCCCAGACAGATTCACTACTGCCATTGGACCAGCCAAACGAAGTCAACGATGAAAAATCCAACAATGTGCAGTGTATGTCAGACAAATCAGCACTTGATGTCGATGATGCTGATGAGGATAAAGTGGGCTAAAATTAAGCTCACCCATCACTTCATTTTTACCAAAATGAGGTTTCAGTTTCAGCCAATTTGATTGTTTTGCAATTTTTCTGATGTTGTTGAAATAGGCTGGAATAAATAAATTCTCTATAAAAGTATTGATGCAAGCAGACCTGGGTTGGCCTTCCTATTAGTTTCAACGGTATGTCTTTTTTCCTTAGAAAATGAGTCTTTTTTGTTGTCTGCCTCAGTCATTTCGCTTTTCTCCAGTTTAATAATTTTAAAAAATCTGATTAATCTGATCAGCATCCAAAATTGTTGAACTTGATTGAGATTGACTCTTAAATATGTTGAACTATCAATTCTTGAAGAATGTACCCATTTGACTAAAGTGACTTTTATACATTTTAATAGAAATACCTGTAGTCTGAAGAGATGCAAAGCACATTGCACAATGACGTACAACTGGTTGAATAGTGACACACAAAAATATGATGTAGGTGTTTGACACCCCCATCAATACAATTTAGATCATTTAGGAGGCCGGCTTTGACCCTGCTTATCAGGGCTAATCCTGGCTGAGAGAGATACAACACCCCAGCAGAAAGACCAAGATACACGGTTCGAGCCTCAGCTCGGTCCGACATTGTGTCCTTGGGAAAGACACTTTACACGAACTTCCCACTTGGCTCGGTCCTATCGGAGACGGACGTTAAACTAGGAGGTCCTGCCCCTTAAATAACTTAATAGTGTTGATAGGGGTGTTAACCTATACCATTTAAAAAAAAAAAAAAAGAATTGAACTCGGGTCCCCCGTGTATGACAGCAAAGCACCTAACTGCTACGCCACAGAGATGCTGGTCTGAATTCATGACTAACTCCACCTAACAGAAGTTCATATGATACATGTACTTCTCATCAAGAATAGTAGCCTACTTCAATATTTTACAAACTACTTCTTCTGACTCTTATAGTTTGAAGATATATTGATTACCGGTACTTTTTGAGTGTACATTTTGGAGGACAAGGTACATGTAATCTGGAATCAATATCAAGCAAAATGAGGTACAGTAAAGTCCACGTGATTTGTTAAAACTAGCAAGAAAATGGCAGAAAAAGTTTAGTAACTTCCACAGCTGGAAAGTCCTTGGAAAGTGGAAATTTACATCTTTTATGTTTCTAATCAACGATTTTCAGTCAAATCTACACAGAAATTTGTTTTTAAAACCATTTTAAAGGTGCTCAGTCAAAAAAGCAAAAATTTCATCAATGTTGCCATACCATCGGAAGAATGCTGGTTTCTTCACGAGTTCCTGATTCACCATGATGCCTCACATATACTACAGTCCAGTCCATTTTTAACAGCCTCTGTTATTACAAGAACTTGGATATATAACAGTGGCAAATCAAATCCCTTGTTTTTTGCTCTAAATAGATGTAAGTAATATGATGAACCTGGCTATAACAGGGCTCAATTTGAACCGACTCTGATATAACAGTGATCTTGCAGCACATGAACTTGCTTTCGATCCGTCAAATTATTAAAATTTGTCTCAATCAAGACATTTCACCTGTTTGGTTGATCGCTTGCCTAAACACAAACTTTCAAACACATGCCGCGCCCCCCACCCCCACAGCGCTGGGGTCACTGATCGATTCTGTCTCAGTGTTGTTAGTGTTAGCAAAACAGCCCACTGGAAAAGGATCTGCGGTAATCGAGTATATACAGTAGGCTGAAGATGCAAGGTACAGAGTGGTAGTTTTCCTTGATAACAGTTATAACAGGACTCGCTTATTACAGGGAAAAACTGCCGGTCCCGTCTGTCCTGTTATATCTGAGTTTGACTATATCATATGCACATATGAGCAACTTCACAAAAAATTTACAAACAATCGAAAGAAGAAAGTATAATGTATTTTAAGATTTCAAGAATTTTATTCTTTACCAGTCAAGTTTCAATGTGCATAAGACACACAATGACCAAGCATCTTGCATTATAAATAAGCTATTATATTTATCCAGTCATTATGATTTAATTTCATAAATACAGATGACAGTCAAGAGATTTAGTATCTCATAACATTTAACTCTCCACACAAGACTAGCATTACATTTGAAATTCAAAATTTACAATTTACAAGCACATGTTTTAACTTGTTTGAAAAGATCTGTAATCTCATGTACACCGTACAATTTCATCAGTGATATCTCTGAAGAACAAACAAGCACGCAAATTATAAGAAAACATGGACATAGCTTTGCAAACAAATTGGATAAAATATAGAAACCAAAGCAAATATGTACTTTTATATACTGTATATATATACAAATTATTATAGGGTAATTGTACCGGTACTCAAAATCACACATGATTCTGTGCATACTCCTCAAGCAAATCTTAAAAACTCATACAATGTCATTCAGAGGTTATCAAAGTAACAGCAACTATATTAATTGTTCACATTTTCTTCCATAACTACTACTCCTAAAGATACTTTTAAAGAACAACTTGTCGAAATTACATGTCACTTAATAATTGTAAGCAGTAACCATGTGGAGAATGAGACATAGCTAAAGTTTCATTATAATAATAAAAATTATATTAACTAGATCCAGATCTACATTTATATAGCATATATCTATCATCAGCGCCATGCTCTATGTGCTTTTCATCTATATTACCCAATCACACTCTAGAACACTCAAACACTTTCTCCGCTTCTTGGGAAGCATACAGTGCAAGCTCAAACACTAACAAACTAACAAAATCTTTCGCCATCTATAGCTAGGTACCCATTTCCACCTAGGTGAAGCGAGATAATTTGTGTAAAGTGCCTTTCCCAAGGACATAACAGCAGGCCCCTGAAAAGATTTGAACTAATGACCTTTTAGTTACAATCCCTACATAAGCTAGATCACCAATGCAACAACATACATTTAACTTAATATTGAGGGCAGAATTTGAGTGACTCAGTTTTCTCTGAGAAATGACCAACAGTTGACTTTCTATCATGTGGAATTGAAAAAGAATCCTTTGTAAGCAACATATAATATGGCCTACTTAAATGAGAATGGTTAAGCTAAACTAATTAATACGGAGGAGAGCTAAATTGAAGAATAAAATTTAAAAATCTACTGTAAATGCCCTTAACATAATACTTCTACGCCATAAAAGTTGTTTAAGTTTAAGCATATGATTTGCTTCAACTTCAAGTTCAAGACTACCCACTTTCACACAATAAATATCAAGAACGCATTTTAAGAAAGGATTAAGAAAAGACCAATTTTTGACTCATTCCTTCTCTATATTAAGGAAAGTAGATAGGATAGACTGTTAAACTGGTCCCACGCTAGTATTATCTGGTGTTATTGCTTCACTGTCCACCAAAAACACATCTTGGCAGCCAGAAAGAAAACATTTGTAGTTCATTATAACAGAAGGAAAAGCTATGATATCAAAGCTGATACTGTCACAACTGAGGACAAAGATGTGTTCAAAGCTATTCCAGAATGTTAATAAACAAGTGGTGTTCCAACAATGGCACCCTCACATCTCATTTAGAGACATCAGTTAACAAAAAGTGAAGGGTGTATATTAATAAACTACATGTAATAAGGACATAATATGGATTCCCAAAGAATGATGATTTAAAAAAAAAGAAAAGTTACACTATACACTGATCCAGCAGTCCAGTAGAACTGAAACCAAAATATGTACAATTTTACACATCTTACAAAGGACATATAATTATCACTGTCCGTTATTAATTAGTTTACTGAGATTTTCTTGAGATGCTATGGAACACTTGCCAGTCAAAGGACAATAAGCTGAATCAAAACATTGCTTGCTGTGTAATACTTAATTTATGCTGTATGCTGTGCAAACCCATTTATCATTCAAAAGAATGAGAAAGGTGTTGTCGCTGAACAAAATTTCTTAATACTGAAAGAAATACACCAACAATGCTTGAAATTAAAACAAGTATACCCTACATAAAATACTTAATAAGGATTATTTTTTTTAAAAACTCCCAATCAATTTTTAGATGAAATCAGCAAACAAAACCCCCCCCCCCATTTTAATCAAAGTAGTGCAAGAAAGAAGCGGCTGAGGATTAGGCATCAAGCTATAAGCTGACTCTGAAGTAAAGTGAGCTATGTTTTATTCAACCACAAAGTCTGAAGACCACAGGCAAAGAAAGCACAAACAACACTGTTGGACCCACAAATTATCTTAGACAATAATAATAGCATAAAAAAAAGCTTTAAAGCATTTACTCAGAGAACAAAATAACCTTGTAAAGTACACTGAATTAAGTACCCCGTACACATACAATGCAACCTCTCTATAACGACCTTTGATATAACGACATCCTCTGTATAGCGATATAATGCCCAGGTCACTGTTTTTTCCTTTTATATCATTAGTAATTTTTGGTTGCCTCCTCTCTATACCGACAACTCTATAACGACATTTTTTCCTGGTCCCGACGATGTTGTTATTGAGAGGCTGCACTGTATCTCAAATACCTCATCATACAGGAGGATACAAAAAGTACTGCCCTGCCTGTGCTTTCATTACAACACTATGAAAAGGAAGTAAATGCAAACCAGTTCTAACTTAGAACCCCATCCTCTGAGAATACTTATCCATGGATGAAAATCCACACTAAAAACTATACTGTGGGCAACTCAGCCTCTTGTAAAGTTATAAACATGAAACTTCACCAAACTGATATAAGAATATGTTTCCCAATGCTAAAACACATTTTTATTGAAAAAGTTTTTTGGTTTGAGTCACTTCATTGTTCATTGTTTCAGGAAGCAAAATCCCTGCACTCAGGACATGTCCATTGATGCTCCGTTGCTCTCTCCAAAATGTTGCCGAGGGTCCTTCCAGTGCTTCCACTGAGTCACTTAGGTGTAATCAATTATGTAACAGTACGCTTTTGTCCAGAGCCAGTTCCTAAGAGATCTAGATCTTCTTTTAGAGTTACAAATTGTTCCTCAATCAATGATAACTGTTTCCAGATCAGTCTGTCACTGTCATCACTTTCTTCTTGATTTGAAGACTCTTGATCCAAATAATCAATGATATAGTCCGAGTCAACACTGTCTGTTTCCAGACTAATTTTGTCGAGCACCTCAGGTTCGGAGAAATACCTTTTCTTAACTCATTTTATCGCTCTTCCCCCATTTAACTGCCAAGAACCGGAAGCAAAACATTTAAATGGAATTAATCATGGGGAAAACGAAAGATAGGTATATTTGGAGAACAATCAACAGATCTAGGTCACTTTGCCCTCGAGTACACTTGTCTACAGTCCCGGGGAAGCAGTCGGGCTTCGCGAGTACACTTGTCCGCCGGTCCCATAGGTGATAAATAAATATGAGAGTCAAGAGTTATTTTCTATAAGACAAAATTATGATCAACCAAAAAAAATGGTGAAGTTCACATTTACTCCGTTACATTCAGTAGATCTACAAGGAACATATAACAACTTTTGTTTGAGCAACTACTTTGATAATTATTTTTCAGACGCACTTGACAATATGGAAGACAAATTATCCTCTCCAAAGTGTTCATGACCCGTCAAGGGAAGTCACTTGACAATGTTAGGTATCTATAACATCACATGACCCAACCTAAAAAAAATTCCAAGTGAAAATAAAAATCTACAAGGAAATAATGCATCCATTCAACAAACTCTACTGAAAACATAGCTGCACATATATACCAGTTTTAATTCTGCCCTAAAAAATATAGGTTAACGGTTCTTCCAATCAATCCAGAAGGATTTCATTTATCATTAAAAAAACCCAACAAAACTTGTCAAGATTTTGTTATTGATCCCAGTTAGCCACAAGAAGTTCCAATTCTATGCGGTATGGTATCATCCATCCTAATGATATCAGACTTTTCCAACCCAGGTTGAAACACTTGAATAAATGTGTCATTACCGTAGGTCACCTGGGAGTGAGTTGGGTCAGTCACCAGGCCACAAAACTAAGTGGAGCCACAACTGACCTAGGATGACGTGGTCTTTACAATGTGTCCCCCTCTCCCCCCTCTATCTACTTGTATCCACCCAGCCTCAATTTTTACTATCACAGTACCTTTTTTTTGGCCTCACTATGAAAGCTTACTAAGATGATGAAGGAACAAGCAAAGTGTGTTATCTACTCATCACTCCTGCTTTGCAGTCTTTTTTTCCTTGCAATAATATTATGTCCATCAATCCCGACCTGCTCATATCTACTGCTAATCCCCTGGGGGGGTGTGCCTCTATAATTATTTTCTGCCTCAGCCCGACAGACAGGTAAAGTCAACACCAGTCTCATGCTCATTTGTAATTCTAAAAACATGATTTCATTATGTTTTTTCAGTTCAGGTTTGAGACAATTCTGGACTTTCCTAGGCAAATGTCTGTAAAAGAGCAGCGTCCACTTTGGATCTTGAAGTTTTTTGGTCCTTAACCACAGAGACTAAGACCCTTCATACCCAAAGATAGGGGGTGTAGGAAACTTTAATGAAATTCCAAAATGTAGCTGAACAACCAAACAAGAACCATATCCAAATCTTTGACATGGAAAAGCCCCTATATTTTATGCAAAATGCTGAAAGATCTGTGGTACATTCAACAATTAACCCATATACAAGTTGTCTCAATTTCAATTGAACTTTGAATAAACAATTTTTTTTTTCTCATTTAACAAAACGTGGGTTATGAGGGTCATGTAAGGGACCACAGAATAATTGTGCCCCATGTTTTCACACCCACACATATACTCGTGTAGCAACACAACAAAAGCAGTCACCTGTCCCATTTCAATAATAATAATAATAATAAAACACTAGGGATGGCAACGGGGTGAAAACAGTATATGTCAAGCAGATTTGGTTGTTCAGTTAAGAATTACTTGAAGTCAAGAAGTCAGAAACAACACAGTAGTGAAAAAAATCCAGGTCTCGTCCAATACATTGAAATAGCTGAGTGCAACATGAAACTAATTTTGTTGCTTTGCTACACATATTGAAACTAAGGACATAATATACAAAGGTTGAACAAAAATGAAAATCTCTCTATAGCATTTGTACCAGGAAGCATCTTAGCTATTGCTGTTGTCTGAAATAGTGCGAACTCTCCGAATGTCACCCATCCTTGTTGGTGCAAAGTCTTTCAGCAGTGGATGGTCAAGGATGTCTCTTGTGGCTGGCCTCAATGCCGCTTTGTCAGCAGTCATCTCTTTCACAAGTTCACACTGAGGATGAAACCATGAAAATGTTGCTTTATAACTTTACTGTTATTTTTTTCAACTGTAGCTTGACAGATTTTAGTGTCCAGGTTGCATTATTTGGTCCCTCGTAAAAGTTCAGAGAGGCAAAAGTACAGTTGAACCTGTCCAAGACGACCATTAATTGGTGAGGAGAAAAATGGTAATCTTACACATGTGCTCCTCTTAGCAACCACACCGCCAGCTGCTTGGTGAAAAAAAATAAAGAAATCATGTGGCACATCCTATAATGTCAACATGTCTGGTGAAGAACACTGGCAAAAAAGAAGCTAACAGGGGAGAGTAAGCCTTTGTTCTGATGCAGGAAAAAAGAAACAAAAAACCCCCCCAAAAACTTATCATCCCATGCCAAATGTAAGCTTCACCAAAACAATAAAAGAAACAACCTTGGTCACCTAAGAATGAATTGCCCGACATTAAGAACAATAAGAAGAGAAAAATACTGTGACAACTATATCAGGCACCTAGAATGAAGAGACAAAAATTTTAAGCAAAAATGTTGAGTGTATGGTATACATATTATTATGTACAGTATTGCAAGCACATAGTGAAATCAGTGTGATGCTTAAATCTTTTTGTTATCAATCAATTTTGCCATGTAGGCTATGCATCTAACTACAAAGAAATACTTGTATAAGAAACAATTCAGTTTCTGAAAATCTGTTCCTTATGAATGTATTTTGCTATGTGTATGCTAGATAGAATGTATGGTTATATTTTGGCCCTATGAAAAACATGATATAACTACCTCCACGGGCAACTCTCTGGTGAAATTGGAAGGAAAGATCTGTCTCTTCGCCTCTTCTAAGGCTCTTATTCTCTCCATCTGAGTAGAGAAAGGAATCCACAGTTCCAGAAAGATCAGTCCCAATGAAAATATGTCCACTTTGAAATCATATGGTTTTCTGGCAATCTGTTGAAGACAAGATCAATACAAAAAGATATAAACAAGCAATAAATACAAAGACTTAACAAAAATGAGACAAATTTCAATTTTAGTGAAAAGACTTTTTTATATACAAGACATTCATGTCACATTCAGTATAATTATGCCAGAGCGTACAAACTCTTTTTAAACCCTTTTAATAGTGATTTTATTTACTACAAATTAATACAAAGATCATTTCATAAACTAAGGCATTTTCAAATCAAAATCACACAAAAAGTGGAACAAGACTATAAGTTTATCAGTAGACCAAAGTAAAAACACAATGAAAAAAAAAAAGCAGAAAATCTTCCTTCTTCCTTACGTCTGAATTATTTTCAAGTCTCCATCATAAGGACAAACTACCTCAGTAGTTCGGAACACTACCCTTTACCTTTCATATTCAATAACTAAAACATGACTGAATCTTTTCTCTACAGGCCAAGCACTTCACAGTACTCAACCTCTTCTCACATTTCTGAATGTCATCACTTTAAGCAGCATCAATATATATCGTTGAATAGTAGGCCTACTATATCCGTGAATGATCATAAAGTGGTTAATAAATATTCAGCGAATTTCATTTTTATTAGCAAAATACCGTAGGTCACTAATGACAGAAAGAACAAAGTTTGAATGCAGAACATTGGCCAGCTATTATCAATTACCCTTTGTTTCCATTTCTAGTATCAACCAATCACAGTACATTTCACAAAGAAGGGTTTCATTTTGAAAGAAGAGCAGTCATCCTCTTCAAAAAAGTTTAAAGTACGAGAAGTGGGAAGAAACAAAGGCAGGTGCAATACATAAAAGTAAACATAGATCAACAGGTACATTTGGTGAGTGCATAAGTTCACTTGCATATTTCCATCATTAGAGGGATTGCGCCTCATACAGGAGTGCAATCAAAGGCTCTATTTTTTTTTTCCCTCCACTGGAGCAGCTCAAATTCAAATGTGAACAGATACTTACTTGTTCTGGACTCATATACAAAGTGGTTCCAACTTCTGCTGTATGGCGACCAGGTGTCTTCGACAACTCCTTTTTCTCTTCTTGACCCTGCTCTACATTGAGGGCAGTGACCAGGCCAAAATCCCCCACCTTGACCACCCCATCATTAGAGAAGAAAATGTTGGAGGGCTGGGACAAAAAGAGATTAAAAATGTTTCACTATTTAGGGAAAAGCATGAATTATAGTATAGATTTAAAACAAAATACTAAGCACTAAGCATTTTTGGGTAAACACTTTCTGAAATGGAAGAAAGCCCTATTCTGAAAGGAGAGAACTTATGCTATTATTTTTCTACACAGAATCTTTAAGTCAAATACAAGAATAAAAATCTGCCCTCTCTGCATGATAACAAAAGAAGTAGCCTACTTGAAAATAATGTCACAAATGCAAGATTAAGGCAAACAATACACATATAAGTAAGTGACAACATGGTGGAATCAGGTGCTTGTCAATTTTTCGACAGAGTATTGGTAAAGTCTTAAAGCTAGTTTACTTGTCTTGCATTTGGTGAAAAAAATCTCCATCTATCTCGGATAAAAAGGTCAAGATATTTGCCTTTGAAGGAGGTAGGGTCATTTAGTGTGGGAGGAAAAAATTAGTGAAAAATGGCCGCCAAAGTTTGGTGACTTCCAAAGCTTGGGTGTACTAAGTAGCTCCAAATCTATATTTTAAAAAAATGTCTATTACTGTTTTTCTGTAAAATCCAAACAGAAATGTACATTTTTATGCTTTTGTTGTTTTTCTGTAAAATCCACACAGAAATGTGCATCTAAATAATATAGATTAAAAAATTGCCCAATAGTCGGGAAAAATGTCAGTTTCTTCGATTTCATTAATCTGACGAGGGCCTGATTTCACCAAGATGTCACACATTACAAATTACAAACACCCCCCCCCCAAAAAACAACAACAACAACAACAACTTGGGTGGTAAATACAGAATAACACTCTCTGTTTGTCTGTATAAACTTGTGTGTGTATGTGTGTGAGATAGAAAAAAGTGCATGTTACCACTGAGTAAAAATGAGCTAAGTCATTTTTAAGACAAATACAGTTTGTACTTTGGAATTGGGCAAGTGAAGGTTAGTTTGTTTTAGTAAAGTTTTGCGGCACTCACAACAGCAGTTATCTGAGCGCCAAGGGGTGGATAGAGAAGTCCAAACGGGGAAATCAGGCTTACTCTGCTCACCTCTCAAGCCTCAACAGCACAAAAAGTCTGCTGCAACTATCAAGGCACACAGTAAATAGCAGTTCACAAGAGAGTAACAAACATACAAAAGAAGTAGAGGAAAAACGACGATAGTAAGGATGAGGAAAGAAAAAGCAGCAGTTCCCCCTATGTTGTTCCGGCAGAGTATGAGGATGACATTGAATTGATTGATCAATGATTGATAAATCAGCCCATTTACAATTCTACGGTGCATAGGAACATGTTAATATCCCCCCTTTAGGAATGGCCTAAAGACAACTTCAGTCAGTAGCACTGCCCTGGTGGGGGTGTGTGAAAGTTTGAACCCCTGACCTCTGGCATGAGATATTTACTGACTAGCCACGGAGCCAAAACCATTCTCATTATAATCTTCCCTTACAGTCTACACAACATTTTGATCTACCTTATGTATCTAACTATTAGCAGGAAGCCACACAAAATTTCTTTGAACATTACACAACATTTTTATGAAAAAAAAAATAACACCTAGCATATATATATATATAAGGTGTTTGTTGGAAAAAAGTAGCCTACATATTTTAAAAATTATTTCAAAGTCTGATAACGATCTCAGATTAATATAATTTGCTATGTTCATTGTGGCCACCAAAGACTTCTTACGTGAACCAGCTAAAAAAAAGTTTGAGGTAGTAGTTTTGTCTGGGATGTTTTCAGGCTCTTTTCTCATATTGACTAAACGTACACTTAATGGGTGGCTGTCTCAGACAATTTTGACTGTATATATAAAAACTTTTTACTTTTTAACATAATACTATCTTAATGGTCCTTTCAGAGCAAAAACTATAATTTTGTTTTGGTTTGAATATTCATCTCATTGTACAACAACACAATTCACTAACATAATGACAACATTGACTAAATATAAAATCAGGCTGAGGAGGGAAAAATAAGGGGTAGACCACAAGAGTTTCTATCAATTTACAACATACACAGCACAACTCCAACAGCCCTGAAGTGCATATAATATAACAATAGATGCATTCTTACCTTGAGATCTCTGTGCATGAGGCCACATCGGTGCAAATAATCCACTGCACACACAATTTGATCAAATATGTCGAGAATAGTTTGGCGACCTCTGTTCAAGGTGTTGTTACAGAGCCAATCCTTTAGTGTCTCTTTCCTGTACAACTGCATCTGTATGTATAAGAAATATTTCGTCCCTGAGGAATCACTCTTTTTGTTCCCCTGTTTCTCAGCAGTATCTGCACGGCAAGAGGGGGAAATGTCCACAGTGTGGTCCGGGCCGTGGTGGAGAGAAAAGTGACCACTGTTCTCAGTGCCCGTCCCACTGTCTGCTGAAGAATGCGGAACGTCATGATTATCACTTTGAGACAGCCAAACATTTTTCTGGTCATGAAATTGACCAGCAGCACCGTTTGTGTCTTCGAAAACAATACTGTCATCTGTCAATTCCACATTATTTCTCCTGTGAAATACATTATCAGCACTGTTTGTTCCTTCAAACACAATGCTGTCATCAGTCACTTCCAGATCTCGATCAGTTGCATGGGAATGTTTGGAGGAATGAGTATAGGCAGAGAATGGAATGCTGGACTGGGTGTCGGAGAGACTACAGTCCTGTGGTTCACTGTCCTTTGAGAAAGAATTGAGCTGGAACAAACACTTGTTGGCACGAGAGGAGGACTGACCGCCAACACTGCTCTCATCTCCAACGCTGTTATCATCAAGAAAGGAATGTACGGAAAACTCCTCACTGCCAGACTTTTTATATTGAGGAACCTCTCCTCCCATGGAATCTTTCGATTCAAACACGATGGAATCTGTTTCCAGATCTGCCTCTCTGGCAATATCAGGAGGAGTCTTGATCATTTTTGCAGCGCCCTTATGTTTTGGGGCATTGGGAGGGGCAGATATTTGATGACTTGGTGAATATGAAGGTTGAACACCGTAGGAGGTAGGTCCTGATGTGGGCCCCGATGCATCACTGAAACAGACCAGAATAAAACTTCTGCTAATACTTTCAAAATACATAAAGAAAATTTTTATTAACTCGAACTATTACTACATAAAAGTCAATGCAGCTGCTTAATGATGCTCAAAAAGCAGCTCCTTACTTATGAAGGAATGTGAGTCACCCCCTCCCCCACATACACACAAAATCTATGAATAAGATAATGAGTTTGGAAAAAAAGAAACAAAAATGGTAACTTTCATTTTATTCCTAGCCTTCCCCATCTGCAACGCCTCTAAAATATAAAGTCGAATCTGCTTTAACAACAACCTGCCCAAAAGGCCAACCCCCCCCCCCCCCCCCCCGTGCTTTTTCTATATTATAATGACACAATCCGTTATGTCCACCAGTCTAAGACAACTACTTTTCTCTTGAACAATTGGGGGCCATTTCTGAAAATTTCGACAGGATATAATACCGTTTCTCTCTCAAATGTGAGACAGAAAACAAAACAGTAAAGGATTTAAATAACTAAACAATAGAGAAAAATATCCGTAGACCTGCAGTGGTGACTTCATCAAAAAGAACACCTTCACACTAAATGTTCACATGTGGTATAAGATTACCTTCACTTATCTACAAGTTACCTGCAAAGAAACTGTTTATCCTTCTCCTCCTGCCAGCCGGCTGGCGGAGACTCCACCCAGGCGTTGAAATATCTCACAATCCCAATATGCTCCAGCGTGGCTAGGGCTCGAACTTCTCTCAGGACTTTCTCCTTAGCACCCTCACTGGAATAAGATAAATATGATGACATGCGATACATATAATATGTCATTTTAGAATAACATAGAAACAATACATTTAACATGCCATGATCAGAGCAATGATAGACTAATACAAAAAAAAAACATTTAAAAAAAGATAAGCTTTTGATCTCTTATAAGAGCAAAACAATATTAACTGTCTGGAGGGGTAGGCCTACAATTTTATTTTCCTTTCAAAATGGGAATGCTCACACAGATACTTTTAAACTCTGCATTACATCAAAATGTAAACTAAAGCACTTTTACAGTCATACTGCTGGTCAGTCAACAATTTTCTGTACTTACAGCTCCAGCTAATGGTGTGCCATTTGTGCTTGGTATCTGACAAAGACAGGAGTAGAATTTTGGAATGTAACATGTCCTAAGTACATCTGTTGGCATCACTTTACCTCTTAGGCAAAATTGTCCTCTTCACAGCATAATGTTGGTCATCAAACCGGTTGATGGCCTCAAAGACAATCCCAAATCCTCCTTTACCCAGACAATGAAGGCACTCAAAGTCTGTGTCAAATCTACAGAGAAGAAAAACAGACCGGATAATCATACACAGGTCACAAATAACCGTAACGCTGTGTGACAGCATGCCTATTTTTTTCTTTGGTCAACACGGAGTACAAAATATATTTCCATGATATATACACAAATTTGTAATGGCATTATGTGATAAGATCAATAAGTTTAAGTCATGAAAGTAAATATATATTTTACCAGATCAATAGTTAAAAAAGAAGGAATCATTCACAGCAGCAGCTTTCGTACTAGAATTAGGAACATGTTGATTATCACAAGGCTGTCAACAGGGGTTAGTTACTTATACTGCTTGCAAAAACAAAAGAAATCTTTGGGACTACAGAATACATCACATCACGCCACGTACCTACCACAGGAAACTGTGTAAATTTTCAGACTGATCTATTTTTTAAGAAAATTCTCTCATTGGCCTAGGCAGTCGCCCACAACACAAAAGGGCGGGAATTTTCGACCACCTTGTCAACGTAATGTTTGACTTACTCCTGGCTTAGCACTTCTAAAGACCAACGTTTTTCCTCAGGGCAAAGTGGTACTGAGCGACTACAAGGGCTCAACGCAAAGGGGAAGTGAAAGTTAGATAGCGGCACGTGACGTAGAATGTTCGTGTCTGGTAGTTTTTCTCACCTCATTCAGCAGGAAGGTTGGCAGTGGTTTGGGGTAACAGAAATTTTAAATCATTTTCGTAAAATTGAATAAAAATCGTAACAATTTCACCAAATTCGTAAGGATGGGCAGCCCTGTTATCAATTCTTAGTTGTGAAACCATTCCCCATAAAATTTTCTCACAAATATGTACAATTAATATCTCACATCACTCATATCGGCCGAGTATATTGAAGAACAGCAAGACAAAACAAACCTTGAAACATAGCTCTCCACTGCTGGAACACCTTCCACTGGCATGGGCTTTCTATCTGAGGCACTCAACATTGCTTGAAGACTGTCACTGCTCTGTACCTAGAAAAATGTTATCATACTTTTTTGTTTCTCTTGTCATGCTGAATACATGCAAAATGGTCAAACCATGTATACCATATGATAACAATTACACAACAATACCTTTGGTTACCCTAAAGTGACCAAACAAATTTTGAATAAGATATTTGTAAAACTTTTTTTTGGCGGCAACAGATGCATTGCAATTAAAATAATATCTTCAAGATTCTGAATTGAAAGATTCTGCCCCAATTCTTCACCTATCCTTATCAAATTTTCAGTCTGCAAATACCATACTGCCAGTAGTGTTAGGCTCTACAAAATGTTACCTCCTCACTTTGAAAACTCTTCACATTTGTCCTTCCTTTAATTATGTTATGTGTACGCCCGTCTACTGATACCCATGAAACTTGTAGGGTCTGTGCACTGCTTTTTACACTTTGATGTGACTCTTTGATTGAATTTCCATCTTGTACGACATTCAAATATCAACCCATTTTATTCTTAAATTACCCGAGTATGATCTGTGAAATCCCACATCCACTGCTAGTACAGTAGAACCTGTTTCAATGACCACCTGTACAAATGACCTCTTCCCAGTTTGGATCCAAGATGATCATTTGCCGAAGTTGACCACTCTAGACAATGGGTGATCGTCTTAGACAGGTTTGACTATTTCTTAATTCCTGCTCACAACATTCCGCCGTGATCCTATCTAACAGGACTCAGGGAAACTAATAGACACAAAATAGGCGACAGTATATGTCTTGAGATATATACAGCTTACCAAGCTAGAACTTGAGCTGTGAGCGAGAGGAAGGGTTGGACCTAAAAAGCGGGAAATAGCAAGCTGAATCCCAATCAGGATAACACTGATCCCAAACAATTCTTTCCTGTGGTAAAAAAGAAAAAGAAAACCATGATACAAATATCACAACAGACAAAAGGATAAGATAACAATACTGAAATTCATACCCTAAAGCACCTTTATGGTGAGTGGTTCAAGTTAAAAATAATTCCAGCCAATTTTGTTGCTGATTAGATTTATGCTTCAGAATGTTTGTTATGTTACTTTATTTTATTTTACAGACATTATTTTACAGTTATGGACTATAAGTAAAGTAAATCAATTCTAAAAGACAAAGTACATATATACAGGGTGAAGATAAAGTCATCAGAGTTTTTACACCAAAAATAATTATTGAAATAAACAGAGGAAAAAATGTATTATTTTCAAGCAAAAATGTGTGCAGTCTTCCACTTACCAGTAGAACCAAAAAGCAGCAGGAAATGTCTCTATGAAGCCACTAGTCTCTTCCTTTTGCTGCAAATTTTCTAAGCGCAATATGTCCTTCACGCGGGGAGCCCGCGAATCTCGGAACTCAGGATACAGAAAATACCCTGTGTCTGAGAAAAAAAAGAAGTAAGTGCAAGATATATATATATGGCAAAATCTAGTCTTTTCATAGAGTTCTCTGTGGTTACTTTTATAGAACACATTTAAAAAGAAATATATGTTTTTATTGACGAATAAACATTAAAACCACATGAAGCATTCAACCAATTTGAACTAGCCAAGAAAATGTATCGCAAATAAACCCCACCTCAAGTCATGAGAAGACGACTCTCAATCAGCGAAAGAACTGGAAATAAAAAGCATAGTGTCCAAGGGACAACTTTACAATGAACATTTTTAAAAATTTGAGTCTTCTGTTAGAAAAGATCAGAATGAAATTTCCTTACATTCTTCAAACTACCCAAATAAAATCAATTGTTTTAAAAATCATGGCCTCTTCAAGGTAAGTATTCAACATCACATAAATTTAAACAAAAAGTAAATGTTACTTTCTTTTTATTCTGAACCCCCCCCCTCCC